TGTCTACAATATGCTCCGAAAGACGATTATATCGACTATAACTTTCACGTTATATCACTTTGGATGACAATTTTATTTGATAGATTTTACTAAAACATAACTGGCAGATTAGGACCTAAACCTTTATTTATTTTTGGATAAAAGCTAGCTTAGGGTTTCAAAAACGTAAGATTAGGTTAAATTTATAAAATATCCACCTCCTATTAAATTAATTATTGTAAAGAACGTTTTTGTGATGTATATTTTCCTAATCAAGAGTTGTTTCAATTAGCTTAGCCAACAAATTTACTTTTCAATACTCCGTGTTATTTTCGGTCTGGATTTCTGATAGTTCTCAGTATCTTGGAAATAGGGGTTTTCATGAATCATAGGTCTGTTCCCTGCTAAGGCTGACTAATATAGTCACATAGTAGCATAAGTCACTGCATGGCTGCTTATAAATAAACGGCGACTTAAAAAGGGTATAAATTTTCTAATCTTGGTTTACTCAAGTTCGACATGTGTTTATTGATGTTAAGTTGGTTTAGTTGTAGCGCAAGTGGTATCGTTTTGCCAGCTAGTTGCACCTTTTTTTCATAGTTTTCGCAGTATTCACTACATCCTTGTGTCTCGACAGCGGATATGATGATGGGCACCACATATGATAGGCTCACTTTGGGTTTTTTTCTATGGCGACTGTTAAGCCTTGATTGCTGCTTAACTGTTGGTGTGATGTACTATAATGGTGACTAGGTATCTTCTGATACATGCCTTCCTATCCAATTAATACAAAATTTTATAAGTAATTTAAACACGATTAGTCAATTAACTTTTAGCATATGTTGTGCAAATATTTTTTCTTTATTAATGATTTTTTTCTTATTTATTAATAGTTTTTTATTTTTTACATTATATCTGCATTTTGTTTTCGTTTTCTTTTTTTTATTGAGTTTATTGTATATAATAGAAATCAAAATTCGAAGCATCTTAAAATTAAATTCTTAACAACACACTATGGGGCATTTAAGTAAATTCTTCTCAGTTTTCATTTCAATCATCGTTTGTAGTTTTTATTCTTTTATAATTATTTTTATCAATATTATTAAACTTTTATGACATTTGCAATTTATTTATAATTTATTTTATTTTTTATTTAGTATTTAATACTTTGTATTTCCGTTGTTTGTTTCAACTCATATTTAAAACAAAACCAGATACATTTAAAATTATATATATTTGTATATTTTGTTTTTCAATTTTTAATAATAATATATGTGTTTTTATATGTATATATTTCTATGAATATATATGAATATATTTGTTTTTTTTTTATTATTTTACAAATGCAATAACAATTTCACAATTTCCTTTTTATGTGGCGCTATCAACTAATTTATGCACAAATTTCACGTTTAATAAGAAATGTGTTTATATATAACATATATATATATATATATATATATATATATATATATTTATGTATATGTATAAACACATATACATATATCATAATATATATATTATAATTTTTCGTTCGCTAAATACATATACACTATTTGGATTCGAATGCGTATATTTGTGTTTTTAATGTATCAGTTGAAAAAATATTGAATGTATGTTGCCCAGAGCATCATCCGTCGATCTATTCGAAATTCTAGTAAAATCATAGGTGCCAAAACTTATACCAGCGAAAATTTGCTAAATATAAAGAATAAAATGATATGGTTATCGATAAGATAAGAGAAGAAAATAAAAATGTTTAATTAATACTAGGCAGTGAGTCCTCTTGCTGCTTAAGTAACTGTTGATGATGATAAATATGCGATGAAGTTGACCATAGACTTCAACCAATGAAACCGAGGCTGTTACACATATGTACGCTCTCAACATATAGTTCTTCTCACTTGTTAGCAAATCGCTAACAAATGAGTCACTAAATATATTTGTTAATCGTAACGCTTATAAGTGATGCTATCGAGAGGTAAGCCTATAGTGGATAATAGCATCGCTCAATTCCTAAAGCATGGACTTTTGTGACATTGTGTAAATTAATTAGACCTTGAAATTGTTAGATTGTTTAAAATGTCAAATTAATGCTTAAAATCTATATAAAATTGGTGAAAACTTTATTATAAAAAGTATTTGAATATGATAATTCACTCAACGCATATAGTGTGTCGCAGAAAATCGTTTTAATAGAATAAGTTTGCTACTACGGATCTACAGCAGTACCAACTTATTTCAAAAGCTTCGATGAAAGTTTATTAATAGAATATTAGTCTTATTAAAAGTGATTATTGATTAGAATTCTTTGGAGCTACCAGTTTGAAGGGGCTTGGCTTCATCTTCAAAATTAGACTGAACTGTCTTTTAAAATTTCTAAAGTGATGTCATTAACCGCAGTCATTAATTTTAAGGTCTATAAGTAGTTTTGATCTGCCAGTTCAAACCAAGGTTTGATATTTTGAGCTTTTGTTAAAGCCAACAGTCTCGGTTATATAAAAGTATGTTGAGGATATTCTCGTTTTGTTTAATATATGCTTATTTTTTTTAGCTTTTATTACACATCTGGTAAATCTATAGAGTTTGGTATTATACATTTTCATAAGTAAAATGGAGCGCTCTTCTTGTAACGATATAGATATAGAGTTATGAATCATGCCAACAATTAAATGATTGGAAAATAAGTTGAACTTTGTCTTCTCATTCAATATTCAATACATATTATAAATATACAATAAAGTTGCTGTAATTGTCTTATGAATGTTATACTTCTCTTGATGCCTGGAAGGAAGAAAGTGGGGCGATTAGCGCAAAGAAATCTATATGTCTGTCATGTAAAAAAAAAGTATTATATTTAATTGTGAATTTATAAGGAATTACAAATTAATTATATTTAGCAGCACTCTCTTCCAAGGCCTACAGGTACATTATTCAATATGTCTGCACCGAATAATATTAATTGAGGCCGAACTGTTCATCGAAGGTTTTGTTTAGTGGTGGTATCCATATAAAATGCAGAGTAAATATTCTCACAATAAGTTTTTATTCATTCAGCTAATGAAAAATTAATATAAAATTAGTTAAAAGACCGACTTCAGCTGGATTTAATTACAAATTGTAGCATAATGATCATTAGATCATTACCATTAGAGGGGAAGACGGTATGTATTAGAGTGAAATACATATAATATATGTAAATATGTGAATTAAATATTAATGTTGACATTGCTATACTTTTTTTAAAAGTTTCACATGCTAAGATCTACTATCATTCGATCTCACAGCTGTTGATATATTATATATGAGCTTAAATAACAATCCTTTGAGATTTTTTATGAGCTATTTATGGTAGAATATGGTTAGGCAAGTAGGTACCCAAGGAAACGTTTTAAAAAAAAATTAAAAATGTTTTATTATAAAAAAATAAGTTCATGTGCAGTTAATAATCATTAACGTCATGTACCTTAGATTTTAAGTTCTAATGAGGATTATGAGTGAATGATATATGTGAACGTACTTAATATCAATCCATGCCTTAACAATGCGTTGACCATGTTACATATTCCATTGAAAAATAAATTATCTGATTTTCCAATCCAGCACTTCTGTAAATCATAATAACAATAATCCAATTGACATATTTTGGATAATAATAAAAAATATGATTAAATGATAATTTTTTAAATTAAAAATTAATAAGAAACTGAACAATTGTTCATATTTGGCATCAAATATAAATGTCGAGAAGAAAATAGAAAATTAGTCTTTGCAAACAAAGCATATAACGATCTATCTAAGCACTTTAGGAGTTAGCATCTGACAGTCAAACAAAAGTTCAACTTCACCAACCGTAAATCGGTAAGAGGTGGAGTTCGAGAAATGCTTGCATCAGAAATTTGAAAACGATATACAGAAAAATATGCAGAAGTATGTATGTTCCGGTGAATAACAACTGAGAACGTTAATGCCAATACAAAAATGAGTTGAGGAACTTGCATAAGAAATCGGCTATTTTAATTAAAATACATATCGACAAACTGAACAAAACTTGGAGTACGCAATAACGAACATATGATGATTTACTTACTTCTTCATAAATTCATGGAGGATTATAGAGTTTCTACAAACTTTTTAACTCTCACATACACAATAAGTAATCACTATCCACCATGCTATTTAGATGGTATCAGATTCAGACACAGCTAAAATAGATCAATTGTGTTTACAAGGACACAACAGACTGGAGACACTGGATGATGGGTGGATATAATATATTTGAGTGGAGGCTTACTCTGATTCAGGCGAAGATGCAACGTGTGTATTACATTCAAATGCGATAGTGATGGTGATAACAATGGTATTCAGAAAGTACCATATGGGTTGACTTATTTATCGGGTTTCGGCCTAACGCAATACTCCACTCATCTTCGATAATAACACATTCAATATTTAAGTTGTAAACTGTATGAGTTGTAGTTTAACATACATAATGCTTGTTTCTTCTATATGAAGAAACATATGCATGTACTATGTATTAGAAAAATTATATTACTCTGTCTCTTTGAATCGACGGTATGACAAACTAAGCAGAAAATCTAAGTTCTAGTGGAAAATGGAGTTCAAAAACTGTTTTTGATTAGTCGTGATGAAGTATGTCAAAATCATTAAAATCGCTTTTAGCTTTTTTCTTAAAGTAGCACTATGGAAATACTCCATAGACTTGCTACGTCATATTATAATATTATATAATGTAACTGCGGGAAAAAAAAATATATATATTCTTTCACTAATATTTTCAACTGGAGTATGTTTTGTATGTATTGTTTGTCGAATGTAGGATTATGAAAAGTGTGTGTTGTGTTTAAATATTTCATTTTTTAAAATTATATTTTCTTTACATTTATATATAATATTTGACTTTTAGTATGTAATTTAATTTTAAATTAAATTTTTACATAATTTTTTAGCTTTTCATTATTTATTTAAATATTTAATTTTCTTCTTTTTGGGATTTTTAGAGTAGTTCTGTTTACTGGTTTCATAACTTTTTAGTTGATTCTCACTAACAAATATAATCTTGCTTAGTCTAATTGCTACACTTGCGTGAAATATGCTACAAATAATGAAACTCCAAGGTACCATTGCAAGACTGGAATTGAGTATGAGAGAGAGACGCCTCCTCCTTGCATGGTTTCGTTGTCATCCGTTAATGAGTCTGCATCATGCTTGATTGGCGATTTCGAATCGCTGCGATAGTTGCTGTGGTCAGGTGCTGTAATTAAAGATACATTATTTATATGTAAATTCGTAATAAGCTGCTTACTAAATAATCAATAAGGGATAAGCTATTGATGTATACATAACAGATATATTTGCTATTAAATATCTTTGCCATTTTAAATAGTTAGTAATGTTTTGTATAGTTTCAATGGAATATAAATCAAATGAATTCTAAATATGCTGAATCTATCTCTATTATATTAGACCACACTATGACCTTTTTATAAAGGAATCAAATATAAGAATATTACTAAAATATATTTTTTTTAAAGATCAGAACTGGTTCCCACAAACAGCAACATATTAAATAATTTCAAAACATTTAATATTCAATTTTTTGACTACAAATGACCACCAATAATTTTGTTTAATCAACTTCGATTAAAAAGTTATTTCAAAAATTTAGTGGTAGCGAGTCAATTTCCCTGCTACTTCTCTCATTTAAAGTACGACATCAATTGATCATCATTTGACCACAATTGACCAGCAAGCACTTTGATCGACCGCTCGGTTGACAAGCCAGTTTGATATATTAGTTGCAACCACAGAGTTGTCGCTCTACAATTCATTTTTTGGAATAAGTTTTCAACCTAGGGTGATCAAGAATGATTATTGCTAGTCTTCTGTGATCACTTGAATGCAATTTTTTTTGTTTTTTGAGAGATACCATACGTAGTGACATCATCTGTTACTAATAGGAGTAGGATCTGTTACTAATAAATTAGTTTTCAAGATTTCGTATGCTTAAAAAGCTATAGATTATCTCATAGAATGCTTAAATGCATGTTCGATGTTTCTGAGGTTACGAGAGACAAAATGTCACCTAAAGCCAATTATGCCAAATATTTCAATTTCAGATTATATTACATTATTTACCAATTCTTGGTTTATGTAATTCGACGTTTCGATATCAAACATTTGTAAATTTTTTAATGAAAACATTGTCATGACTACGCACCGCGCCATATGCACCGCATGCTACGTCATCCTATACTTTACAGTCTATTCTAGAGAAATATAGAACGTAGTTTTGTTTCAGACGAAATCTGATTCATATGTTTTGCAATGCATATTTAAGCAAACTTTGGTGTTCCTACAAAATTATTTCTGGGAACTGATTTTTGGTCAAATATACTAAGTCAGCGTTTGCATTATTCGTTACAATCGCAAAAATTAATTTTGTATTTTAGTGCTAAGTCAGTCTTAAGATTAATTTAATATAGTACCATGCTACAGTAGGACGATTGACATCCTCAGGGACCTCAAGATTGATCCGGTCAAAAAATACATAAAGGATGGAGCCCTGAAAATATTTACGAAAGTTGACAGACTTACCAACACCGCATTATCGAATCTCAGAATGGTTACAGGCTCCTGGAAGAGGTCAATTATTGCTTAGTCTGATGCAGTGATAAGCAATAATCCAGTCAAGGCATAGGGAGGGGCTTTAAAGAAACCTCGCACTTAATAGAGAGTAAAAGTGCTCAAGTGCATTGACTCAACTAGTTCAACTAGTTCAACTAATAATTGCAATTTAATAATAGTATAGTATAGTGAGTTAAATGCCTCCCCCTAACATGTTAGGTTCTCAAATAATTCCGTGAAGCACCGTTTACTCATCATTAATAACACTTATATTCATTTTAATAAACATATTTAACATATTTAAAGATTTATTTCATCTGTCACTTTAACTGATCCTTTTTAGCAATTCAAGAAACTTAAGATCGCATATTATTAAACTTAAAAAAATAAAAGCTTAAAGCCAAGCGAAATTTACATCGCATTCTTATAGCGCCCTTTCACTTCTGTCTTTCATACCTACACAAAATGCTTTCGTGAATAGGGATTTTGATCAAATGAGGAGGAAGTAGTTGCCATACAGGAGCGGAGGGTCAAGAAAGACTACAAGAAGACTTTGATGAATTCCATATTAGCTTATTAACCTTGTATACATGCATCGCACATATCGAAGCTAAAACACTTCTGAGAATAAGAACGTCCTAACAAGTTTTATTTTTATGCAGAACTTGAATTATTACTACGTATGAGTGACGTATTAGGAACCTGATAATTTAATTTTTTTTATTACTTCGTACAACAATACCACACTGGAAATATTTATTTTCTAAGTAAAAATTATTGGTCAATTCGAATCAAAAAAAATAAAATAAAAAAAAAATTTAATGATATATTTGTTTTTATTTCTTACTAAAAAATCATATGTATATGTTTGAGGTGAGGTGTGGGATAAATTAATTTTTTTAAAAATATTTATAAAGACACCACTATCCTGAATATTTTGAATTTAAAAATAAAATATAAGAATACTAGCAGACCCGGTGAACGTAGTTTCCCCTTGTAATTAATTTCCCTGCTCCGCTGAGTAATAATATTTGTTGCTCTCTCTATATCTGTGTAGATAAGGAGAATGTCAGATTTATCTATGAAAGAAGCAATCCATGTTTAGAATTTAATCGCTTAGTTTTAAGGATAAAGCCTAAACAATGTCAATAGCGTTTGTTTTATTTATGTTAAAATTATAACTAAAATTGAATATTTCAATAGCATATGTTACGCCTAAAAACTATATAAATATGATCTGAGAGTATCAGAGTAGTTTAGTCATTAAAAAGTTATAAAGTAACGAACAGGTGAAGAAACGATTTTATATATACAGAAGAAGATTTGTAGTATATTCCTTGAAAATTTATTTAATGAAGATATACCACGCACATTTTAAGCTTATGAAATCGACATTACTCTCAATGGAACAAAAGTTGCGCATATATAAAACTGTCATTAGACCGGTTCTTACCTACGGCTGTGAAACATGGGTCCTTAAATGCAGCGACAACAACCTGCTCCTGAGATTCGAAAGAAAAATACTCAGGAAAATATATGACCCGGTGTGCATAGAAGACGGCACATATCGTATACGGTATAACGACGAATTAAATGTCTTGAACGAAGGCCGAAGTATATCAATATACATAAAAGCCCAAAGATTGAGCTGGTATGGACACGTCCTACGAATGAGTAACGAAAGAATGACTAAGAAAATTTTCGAGACAAAGCCAGAGGGGAGTAGAAAAAGATGACGACCGCCACGAAGATGGTTACAAGATGTAGATGATGACGTACGAACGATGAGAATAACACAACACAGAAAGAAAGCGAAATGCAGAGAAGAATATAGGCGTATTGTAGTCCATCCTGGACTGTGATGCCAAAATGATGTAATGATACCACGCACACACATATTTCGATGTGTTTTGCAGGAGAAAAAATGGATTTTAAAAAATTTTAAAAATTAATGACATCCTGAAAATTTTGACTTCTTAGTAATATTTAATAATGTATATAAATAATATATAAAAAATGAAAATTTTTGAGATTCATTTGGAGAAAAAAATGGTTTTGAAATTTAATATTTAATATTAGTGCTTAAATATGGACAATCTTGCTTGTTGAAATTATTTTAAAAAGGTTCAATCAATTATCTCAAAAACACAATAAATTTTGAGTTTATGTTATTTATAGAACCTGAGATATGGCCGTTTAAAAATGTTTCAACAATGCCAATTCTCAAAACTCCGTGGGTCAAAAAATTTCAAAATTTTTTTCCGAGATATAGGTCGTCTTATTTTATGAAAGGAACTCATAAAAAAAAATTTCAGTCAAATCGGGTGTGAGGAAGTCATCTTTTGCTAAAATCCGTCCGATTTGTTAAAGAATGATCCTTATCGTATGAAAACGAATTGCGTATATATAGAGAATATATAAGAGTGTGTATATTCCATAAATCAGACAAGAGAATTTGTTTTGATTTAGCTTACAGAGTTCGCAGTAGGAACTTTAAAATTTATTTATTATTTATTATTTATTATTTCGTAAATTGTTTATACAAAAGTAATTTCATAAATCACATAATTCACACTTTTAAACCTTGAAGTTGTTGCAGAGAAAGTTCAAATGTCGATAAACATAGCCACATAGCCACATAGCTATATGGGAGTGATACGTAGGTACACACTTACACATTTTTGCTGATATGTGAATCCATAGAAGTTTTTATTAGTAACTTTTTTGTGTGTTGTGTATTTTTATGTGTAATTTGCAGCTATTTTTCTGTGCTGTCGAAAACGCGCCACACAACAGTCACATCAAAACTTTAAAAAACACTTTTGGGAACTGCAATAAACACATCTTCAGAACTGATATAAACCGCCAACACACACACGCGGTCGCGGTCTCGGTCGCGCTCCGTTCCGCTGCGGCTCAGGCACAAAAATAAGCAGATACTCGAATTTACTATAGCTCAACGACACAGAAAAGCGCTATCGTCGTGGTGGATACGAAAAACAACTGCAATGGTTGCAAATTGCTGCTCGTTGCCAGTTGCTAGTTGCCAGTTGCTAGTTGCCAGTTGCCAGTTACCAGTTGCCGGTTGGTTGTTGGTTGTAACTTTTGTTACTGACTGCCTCTATTTGTAGCATTAGTTTCGCATAGCTATTGTAACCAGAAAGAGTTGTCAAAATTGTTCTGTAATTTTTTTCCTTCAACCCTTCGGCAATAGCTAGAGCACCGTGACTCTACCTCCGCCATGCCTCGACGCGCTAGTGCGTATAGAAAGCAGAAAAGCATATATGCGAAAATAAAAAGTGAGAACCGTTACAATAAATATTGAGGTTATCTGTGCGAGTAGCATAAAAGCCATTACTTTTTTATATAAATTTTGGCAAGAGCGTGGCGCTTCCACTTGCTCCCACATAAAATCACAGATTCAATACGAAATCACAAAACAAAAAAGTTACAAATTATTAACAATATAAAAATAGTATAAAAAATAAAACATAATGTACATATTGCAGGGGGGTTGGGCAGCGGGAAAGTGTTAAACACACTTTCAACGTAACATCGGAGTTCGGGAACACACCAATGTTCATGTCCATGTCATCATGGCAAACTGAAACAAAATTCCAAATTGCT